CTTTTAGCCTTATACACTCTGTTGTTCTTATACGGATTTCGTATTTACTTCTGTTACTGCAATTACATAAATGTTGGCAAAAAGATATTGCAAACATTCATCATTGATCCATAGAATAGCATTACATAGACATTTGTTTCTAGCAAACACGTACAAACACAACGGACAGCGAATTTTCTTTTATGCATATATATTGCTTCGATTTTAAACTATTTTTTGTTTCTCGTATGTCTCTACCGAACTAATTTACGTTAACGAATGTTATATATATTTTACACGATCGGCAAATGCCTGATATACATGTACCTTTTTAAGGAAATAAATACTTACACACTATTATTATTATTACTCCCGTTATTGCTACTGTTATTATTATTATTACTATAATCCTCGTTCATCTTCGGCATTTCCGCGATCACGTTTCCTGTGTGTTCTAAATTTCTCGAGTTTGTCTCGTTGCAAGCGTTTACATAAATTGGTTCCTGTTCTTTTTCTTCGTCTTCTGACATAAAGTTACAGTCCATTCCGTCGTCTTTACTTTCCGTTCTCGCGATATTCGTCGGTTCGATCATGTCCGTTTCGTTCAAAGCCTTCTGTGTCCTCGATCTACCGATTCCTAGCTTTTTCCTCGGCAATTTAGAACCGTTTTCAACCATCATCGTCTGTTCATCATCATCACCGTCGTAGATCATTGTGATTTCGTTCTCGCTATCTGTAATCATCGTAGGCGAACATCTATTGGATTTGTTCAGCGTGGAACCAGGTGAAACGTCGCTACTTTCGCCCTCGCAGAAACCCTCGGTGCTGAGCAACGAGGGGCTGCCCTCTGTGGTGGTTGTGATAATCGACACATCCGTGTTTTCGCTGCTCGTCAGACTCGTTTTCGAAATATCGCTCCCAGCGAAGCTGTGCGTCTTCTTCACCCCCCTGTCCAACTCTTCGAGCGCAACAGGTATCTCCGACGAATTCAGTTTTGTGATTATCTCGCACTTTAGGTTTTGAATGTCTTTACTAATTCCACAGTTTTGCCTGGAGCCTGCCTGAAATGAGAAAAAAACGAGATCTCGTTACAGTTGTTTACTGCGCCAGTTTAGAATTTTGATGGATCTTGATGTGTTTTCTCAGGCATACGTATTTCGAATATTTACGTGATTACAAAGACGTTCCTTGACATAAGGAATAGAGATTTTTCTCAAGAATCGTTTGTTTCTTTATTTCATTATTAAATTTATATTAGAAACTCATCACGAAGCCAATAAAGTATACGAAACGAGATAAAAAATTGCAAAAGTCAATTACGTCGGGAGACTACTAGAATGCATTATTAAGAAACTAAGAAGTCTGAGGGCTGTTCTTGCTATGAGGTCCTTAATTACATCACAATATCTCGAAACTTACATCGGCATTGGGCGTTTGCAAGTCGTTGTTTTTAATATCGGTTGCCGTGTTAAGCTTCATTGACGATTTACCAAGGGTCTGTTCGCGTTTGCATTTGATATAATTCTTGGTGTAACGTCTGAGCCTAGCGATTTCGAGCTGCTGGTTCTTGATCACATTGTCCTTTTCGCAAAGTAGTTGTCTGATCGATTTCTGCTCTTGCTTCAGCCGCGCCTCCAGCACCAACAGAGCACGAAGTATCCGCGATAATTGCTGATCTCGAAGACTTCTTTCGGACTCGTGGTTCGCAGTGCGATTGTCCAGCTCTTTCACCAGATCACGGCATCTCTTCGTGGCTGCCTTCAAGGCCTCCTGAGTACGAACCAGCTCTTGCTTGAGCGTTCGCACCTCGGTTTCCATCTGAAAAATAATTTGCTGGTTAGATACAGTGGCTTCTTCTATTAAGATTGCATAATGAAATGTATCTTTCTTCTTCATTACGATTTTTTAATTACGGTTAATAATTTCAATTCTTTATACAGGTATAATACACGTATAAAAATAATAAATTATCGTCAATTAACTCGATTATTTGAACATACGTTCGTGTACATGAATAGAAATAAAGAATTCTCGAAGTCAGATTCAAAAGCGGAATTCGGTGGAATTCGTTGTGATTCCAGGTAGAAAAATGTTGAAAGTTGACTTCGGAGAAGGAACCTTGGAATTCGTCTAGGTTAGTAGAAACGCTGGACCGTACTACGAAGACCGGAAGGGCCTGACCTGCAGGAGCTGGTAAGCCAAGCAGACAAAAAAAAAAAGAATGAAAGAAGGGGAACCAGCCGAAATAAAAAGGAGATTCATTGTCCGAACTTTAACTTAAGATCTATTTTACTTCGTCTCGATTTCTCCAATGGGATAACGGTGCCTAAGAAAGTCGAATCAAGAATAAAATATATTACAAGTTAAAAGAGCAAGTAAAATTATTATACGCAGAACAAGAAAGTATTAATATAAAAGAGAAATATTTTTGATTAAACAATTTTCTGTTGGTAACAATGTTGAATTATTTTTAACAGTATTTTTTACTGTTAAATATTTCATAAAGGTTGCAGATATGAATAATCAAATATTGATCAAACAGGTTTCAGTTCTGTATTTAACTAAAAGATTTTGCTGGGCTCGGCGAGTCACAAAGTAGAAATTAGCTTCGCTCTACCAAATATCCCAATGTACATGCAACTCGAAAAACTTTAGCAGTTAGTTTGCATCAGTAGCATTTAGCTCGCTTCAGAAATTCCTGAAATCGATTTAGCCTTTAAACTTTGTGGTATTTATGTTATATTAGGAAACTAACGTTAGAACACAGAATACAAATCCAATAACTGATAGAACTACGGTAAGAGAGACGATCTTCTATCAAAAAAATAATATCGTAAACATGTTTTTGTATAATTTTTTTACAAGAACCGCTTTGAAGATTTGTTGGACATAACTTTACAGTGTTAATGAATTAATTTAATGAATTTTACTATGAATCTATTCTATAAATTTCAATTTACTCTTTGATTTGATAAACAAAACGAATATAGGAAACAGAGATGGATTATTTCATAAATGAATATAAATACATTTAGTCGCAACTTTTAGTTTAAACAACGATTCTTTCATATTTCCGTCAAGTCTTTAAACAATTTTTAGCGGTAAAGTATCCCAGTTGAGTTAAAGATGTTCCAAAGGGTTCAGCAAGCTCAGAGCGAAAGATTCGAACGACACCATATTTTCTCGACAAAAAGTTTTACACATAATAACACCCTTCTATTCGCACTAAATACAACGAAAGAAACACCTATACGCAATGCGCATAACGCCTTAACGTAGCCCAACTCACTCCCTATCGTTCAATCCTCTAGGACAGACTCTAGGGAAAACGTCTCAAAGTAAAGATACCAATTATGTACCAATTAAAGAAGCATTTATTTGAAAATAATTGCCGGTTCAATGCAGTAACAGCTGTCTGTAGAAGAAGCCTCGTATCTCGAGTAAAACAACAGGCAATCGTAATAATAGAATGGAGAAATGGTGGCGTTTTGTGTTTTAGTAGAACTCATAGCCTTATGACTGGGAGAGGTTTGTTGTCAATGGTGTAATATGCCTGACAGTTTGGGCGGTAAATTTATGGAGGCAGAAGATCGCAGGAAGCCACAAATTTTCGCACGAACTGTAATTATACAGTGGCCGTAGCGAAAAACGTACCCAATAGCTTGGCTATTTTCTTCGTCTCATCACGGGGGAAATAACCCCGCACCCCATACGGTTTTTCGAGCGATCGACTTACAGCGCAATCCATACTAACTTTAAGTTATCAGTTGCGACATAACGAATCAAGCTCTTTCAGCAGATAGCTTGTTTTTTTGTGATCTTCATGACGTGTTACGAACTGCCGGTGTTATTACGCCAGCAGTCAGTCATTGCTTTAAAGAACTCGTATGTTTGATTACGGGGTGCTAGAAGTAAACGGCAAAGTATAATACATATATAATATATGGGAGACAGTTTTGGTTCTAGTTGTTAATTTACAGAATAGACCAGCTTCGTGTCTTTGCTTATCTTTCACGCGTAAAGTTAAAAAGTTGAGATTAAAATATCTTTGTTATTTCCAGAAAAATTACGTCAAATTATGTGTCCCCAGAAACATAATATATCAACAATTTCAGAAATATTCGCAATGGTTGATTTAAACGGAACACTTTGTATATTTCGACGATCTTTCCGACATTATATATTCAAATGGATATTAGGATGAAAAATATGACGATATCAATTCAATTATAAAGAAACTAATTGTTTGAGATACCAACTGTCTCAGACTTATTTGCACGATTACATAACTCGCAAGCGTAGCATCGTATAGTTCATCTAAATGTTCCGAGTTACGACATAGCTATTTAAGATGGTATGCAAATTCCGGTTCCGGTACACGTGACACCAACATGTCAGGTATTTCAAAATCGAACTTTTCCCAACCACGATGCATTCGTGTCCTATGATGTCAGAGGAATCCCCCATGATCGGAAGAAGGTATATTATAATATGTATTTAGAAAGCGCGATCTGATGAGGTGTCCGTGTTCTGAATGCTGATGGTTATAAATGAGCGAGCGCAGCGATTTCGTGTAACTAATCATAACGTATAGTTTAGCATGAATGAAGAAAAAAGCAGAAAGTCTGATTCAATTGCATGGATCAACATTTAACAACTAATACGAAGTGAATTTCGAATAGATATTGGTTACTGATAAAATGTTACAAGAGAAGAACGCATAGTAATAAATTTAAAAAATAAGTTGATCAGACTTACTCGAATTAATTTTGTTTTATATTTGAAACAACGAAACGACACGAAATTAACTTCAAAATAAATAATCAAGATCGAGTAATGATATTTAATGTCAAAACTCGATACAGTATACGCGTCTTTGAAAATTTGACGCCCACGATTGCATCAAATTCGAGTTTTAAAGTGGCTCACGGAGGTGACGAAAAAGTGTGCTACGACTTTCTCCGTTCTTGACCAACGGTTTTTCGATCCATCGTGGTGCACGATAGGAGGTCAACGGATGAACTCCGGTCGCTGGATAACGAGATATCTATACCTCATATCGATACAGTTACCCGTTTTAACACATTCAATATCCGTCAAATTTCCAGAAGCGAGTGCTGAGGTTAGCAAGTCTGATCTTACCGCAAACTTCTTTTTTCATTTGTATATTCGTCGTTTTTTTAATAACTGCATGGAGATTTTAGAAAAAGAATGCGGAAAGGAATGCACGGAGGATCACGTTTGTTCTTAAGTGACGTCAACGCTACATTCTCTTCTCTAATAACTCAGAAACACTTTCTCCGGTGTTACGGTGTAACGGACGAATAGAGATCCACAATTATCGCACGAAACGCGCAATAAGTATACGTAAGTAATCACATTTCTTCCGATCCCTTGTGTTTTTTTACCGAGATCCGTGAACAGAACATAATGATTTCGCTTAAAATCACCGATATATACGTGAGAATGATTTGTTTTTGATAAACATTTAATTTTTAATTTACAGGTGACTTTCAATATCGTGAATGGATTAGAATTCCCGATTTCGCAAGCCAAGCATGTACACATAGTAGTTCTCGCAATTACGAGCGTAGAATTGTGTCATCATTTAAACAACCTTCGTTGATTGCATCACGTTACTTTATTACAAACCGTGCAATAATTATCATAAGATTCGTTATACCGTTTAAAGATACAAAAAATATGGCGTTTCGATAAATTGTATCGTTTGTTTGTGTAAATTGGGCTAATGTAAACGATGCAGTCTTCCAGTTTGTATTAGGTAAGCCGTAGTGGTCAATCGTTATTCTAATGTTATACAATATGCAGTCGGTATGTTTGGAGTAAATAATGGATGCTTTTACAAAGACTGCAACAAGACCTTCGATGAAAATGTCTTTAAAGAATGACTGATTCATCGTCCGGTAGATATAGTAGGTCGTGTCGAAATAAGTCTACGACATACTTTACGTATAGCTTTTTCCATACCGTTGCTCGTTTACAAAATCGCTATGTATCCGTTATAAATCCAATGTAAGAAACTGCCGATCAAATGCATCCCTACTACACCATACACAAGAGCGCGTAATTCAATTTTCTTTTTTTGTGTCCAAACTAAGCGCATGTTTATTTCGCATTTTCATCGATTACGTCGAGTATAAAAATTGAGTGCTTGGTAGAAATTATAAACTCGCGATGCTTAAACAGCCTTCTACTGTGTACAGTAGTTTTTGCATTAAAAAAATATTCGTGTGTTATTCTTATTATATCCTGCTCATTGTTACCTTAAATTCCGTCTTCCAGGCAAGCACACTTATCCAATATTATCAAGAAAGTCTGAGCACGTGACCGGCATGATATACGTATAAATTTTTTCGCACAATCACACACAAATCAGCCGAATTTCACCTGATTTCGACATAACATTCTGTCACTGGTCCTCGAGGCATCTGTCGTGCGTTGTCGTCTCCTCGAGGATGCCGGTTACGAGCGCTCTCGAGAACAGCCGATATCTGCCGAAGGTCACCGAAGCTTTCCGAACGGCAGCGCGAATGACCGAATGTTTTCGCGTACCTGACATATTGTACTTCGAATTCTGAGAGCACCTCGATTACTTTTGCGAATCATTAGAAAATTCCTGCTTCATTTTCTTCCTTTAATTAACTGTATTGGATCGAGCATTCACGGCCGATATATCAAACGAAAATACGAATAACGTAACGGAAACAGAATGTAGGCGAGACGAACTTTGGATACAAACTGGTCAGTCGGCGAGTGGACAGTTAGGTCCAAGAGGGAGTAAAGAATGGTAGGGAGAGGGTTGAAGCAGGCTCGGATTCGAAAACAATTTTCTTCACGATCATATGCGTATCATATAAATTTTTGTAATTTTTAGAAAACTAGAATTTATTATTATTACTATAATGAAAATTTATTATTATAACGTATTTTTAGTTTGTTATATTTTGAATGTTTTTATTTTACTCTATCCTAGAAGTTTGAAAGTTCTTAAGTAAGTTATTGAATAAGTAGTACATTATTCCTAATTGGTTTCTAATAACAAGGTATATTTATTTATGTAAGCTGTTATAATTCTAGATAATTAATAAAAATTCATATTTATAAAAAGTTGGTTCTTCCAAAAATATTCATATGAAATTACAATACGTAGAATTGTAATTTTGAAAACGAAGCAAAACAGAAATTCTATAATGGTAAACAATACTTTAACGTTTTTGTATTATAATTTAATAAATTTTTTTTTTATTTTCATTAGTACTGAAACAATGTCTTTCCCTTTTGTCTATACGCACATATATAGTAGAGTCTAATTTATTAAGTAGACGGTTGATAAAAATCTGAAGAATCTTGAGTTATAAGTGCAGCCCTGAGCCAGAGTCAGACGAAGAGAAGGAAGAAAGTAAGAAAAGCAGGTAAAGAGAGAGAGAAAGAGTCCTGTTCCGCATTCACGCGTGCACGAATGTTTGTGCGCACTTTTTCTATGTATAACTTGTTCGTGATCGAATGAAAACAGGTAAGACTATCTATAGACCAGATATAACATAAAAATGAATACGACATGCCCTTTTTTAGATAAATTGTGAAGTTAACTTGCTCAGATATCTACATACGTCACGGGAAGCAAAGTAACGAACAGCTGACTCGAGTAGTATTCAGGATTACGGCATGCTATTATTGAGAGATAGTAGTGTTCTTGTTATTTAGCATTCTCGGAGTTTTGCGGTTGATTTTGCAAGATTTCTAACGAATTAAATCGATTATTTTGCAAAAAAGTGTTGACAGTCTATGTAGATATAAGTTTTTATTCAAAAAGATGATAGTATCTCCTAACCAAAAGAAGCAGTCGATGAAATTATCTTTCTCGCATTTCCACTAGGGAGATAGAAAATCCATCGCTCCTTTTCAGACTAAACACATTGCCTACGATCTTCCAGTGATCAATAAAATAAATAAAAGAAGCATGCCATCTCTGAATCTTAATCCTATCGTACATAAAAAAAGTATCAAGTTAGTCTATCGATTTTAATCAAGCCTTACGCGTACAGAATGAGTACCATTTATAGTAAAGTTTCTCAAGTTCCCAGAACGACACCAAATATCAGCGGTGTTGGAATGTTATCGACACGAACGGTCGTTCTTGATCTTGCCCTGAATAAGATCGTTCTCCACTACCTAGGAACGCCGATTGTCCTAGAAAACGAGATTCTACCGGTTGGCGCCTGGCCCGTGGTTGTGCAATTGCCTCCTTAACGACTTCGTCGAGACCTTCGCACAGACTTTTTGTAGAAGTTACCTCTGCGTGATACCTTCAATTCACATACATCTTAATTACCGAGCGGAAACTGGCGACAACCATCTACCGACCGTTTGCAGGGGATTTGACGTTTTTTGACACCTCGTAATTTAGCAACGTGTAATCATCAGGAATAACTAATAATACGGATCTCGATACGAATATGGTCCGTTTACTACTACTAATTCCGGAATTTATGCGAAGAATATTGCAACGGGAAGCTTTGGTATGTCGCTACTACGTTATTTTTATTATGTTAGTATGTTATTAATTTCCTTCTTGTTCCTCTTGTTGATGTAAACGGTCAAGTATATATTTAAGTAAGTATCGTTTTGTGTTAGAAAAATACAGTTACGTAAAGAAATGGCGGATGTTAATACAGTTCTACTGTATTACTAAAATTCTTCATATATCATTTATATATTATTATTATAATATGCTATTAAAATTCTTCATGAAGTTAAGAAAATTGAAGAACTATTTACTATGGCTTATGAATGAGATGAAATTGATGAGATGAGTATATTATTACATCCGTAAATACATTTTAGCATATTATCCTGTTGAGATGTTAATCATTTTTTATATATGTAGAGTGATTTTGTTGTACTTGAAATATGTTAGATAGTAAAACGCGTGCAAATATGTAAACACACGATTGGACTGAAACTCAATAAATTGTGATCTTTATCAAAATTTTGTAAACAGTTTGTAGACTTCCTATAAAATATCATTATTAATTTCATAGAGGATAAAAAAAGAGGGAGAAAGGAATCAGATCAGTTCAAGAAATGTTTATAAACTTCGTTATATAAGTTTGATATTAAGTACCGAAAAAAGTAGGACAACTTTTATTCCCAAAACCAATAGAGTAATAACACTGCCATTAAATGTTTTTCATTTATGAAATTTATTTTCGTTATGTCTCGTGAAATTATATCGAGCATATTTTAATCACAAGCATTTAGAGTTAATTAAAGAAAAACTCGTAGTTTATGAAATGACAATTCGATCCTGACGAAACTGTTTTACCTAATATTTGACGTCAATAAGAAATACTCGAATAACATATGTATTTCATACAATTGAGTCAACTCTCGAATAAACAATATGCTCATCTTAATGGAAATATTTCAATATTAAACGAGAACGTTCTTCAAGATTCTCTTTTTTTTCGCGAAACTTTGCTTAGCAGAAGAAACATGAGAATCTCATGATGAGATGTAATTTTCTCGACGTAATAGGAGAGTTTCGCTGCTCGTTTTAACCTTTAAATGTATAATGTTGCTATATGGTAACAAGCCACTGTATGTTTTTTAATCTCACAGCCACAGTGCTTGTTATACAGTGTATATATGATACATATTCTTATTGTTATTAAACAAGTGGAAATGAAGAAAGTGGTCTCCCGTCACTATTACTTTTCTCCGATACTTAAAAGTGTCAAAGTCAAAATGCTTTATTATCGTTGGAAGAATTATACTTTTAAGGGTTGAATGAATGAAAGCGTCGAATAGCATAAAGCGTTACGATTGTCTCGTTCACGATCACGACTCTATTACAACGAACGGAGAAAGAAAAGAATACGAAAGAAAGAAAGAAACAAAAAAAGGCACAATCAACGAGAATATTCGCTTTGGAAGCAGCGAACTCAATCCTGCACGATAACGTCTCATCGATTTATTAACTCGGTTACCTTAGAAACCCGGTTCGCTAGCCCTCGGTTAGGTCTGGGGGATACGGATAACCGTTATCACGATGCACGAATACAATCGATTCTTACCGTTTGAGTATACTCCAGCCAGAGTTTCGAGTCGATCTTCTTCCTGCACGACATTCTTTCGATGATTCTCTCTTACCGCCCACCTCGTTCCTCTTTTATATATTATTTGCTCTTTTTAGCAACTTTGAGATAAGTCTACAGGACTTCTTCATCACCTCGTACATCACTTTGTGCTTCTTTGCATCGATCAGACCGTATTTTCGTTTAAAGAACAGTGGTTTCTTTGAATGGCATACCTCTGTCTCGTTGGAAACGAACCGATATTTTTAAGAGAGATGCTTCTAAGTTGATTCATCGAATTCTCCGGGTTGCATTCCTCCTCGTTGAGGAAATATCTTTCACGGATTTCTGGTTATTGTGATCATGCTTATTTACACGGATTGTTTGTGTTAGCTTGAATTATCGGTGGTTTACAGCGTGGTTGTTGGTTGGTGAAGTAGGAGGAACAAGAAAACGTGTTTCGAATGATGCAAGCTTTTCACGATTTTTGTAACCGTTGAATTGCTCTACAATCAGAATTCTGACATATACATATAATTCACTGAGTTTTTATTTTTACTTTATTTTACTTTTATTTCTCTACTTTATTGCTCTTTCTGCTTTCTTTATCTCACGTTCCGCTTTTATCCGTTATATGTACATATTTCAATAGAAATTTAGCATTCCTCAGAAATGAAACAAATATATTCTTGCGATTCAGTTATCTCGGTACTAAAGTTGCAGCTTCGAACCACGATGAAACATAGTCTTTCTTTAAAATGCAATTGTAAAATGCAAAACGAATGCAATATTCGATTATTTTCCCCGTTTTTATCGCGTTATTTAATTGACAGTTCTCTTTGACGCAGAACGCGTATCTTGTTTCGCTACGAAAATATTTTTTCCGTCTTTGCATTCGACACATGTATCCGTAACAGCTGGTTACGCTATTAACACGCATCATGGTATACGTTTGTTCGTTAGCAAACACACGTAACTAAG